AAAAAAAAAAAAAAAAAAAAAAAAATTAACCAGGAATGGTGGCACATGACTACAGTCCCAGGAACTCAAGATACCAAAGCAGAAGGCAGGCTTGAGCCCAGGAGTTTTTTAAGCTTACAGTGAACTATTATGATGCCACTGCATTCTAGCCTATATAAGAGAGCAGACATCACATTTTCAAATAAAAAAGTAAGTTCCTTGAGGGCAGTGATCATTTTTTTTAAATTTAGAGACAGTGTCTCACTTCATTGCCTTCAGCAGAGTACTGTAGCGTCACAGCTCACAGCAATCTCCAACTCCTGGGCTTAAGAGATTCTCTTGCCTTAGCCTCCTGAGTAACTGGGACCACAGGAGCCTGCCACAATGCCCAGCTATTTTTTGTTGCAGTTTGGCTGAGGCCAGGTTTGAACCCGCCACTCTCAATATATGGGGCCGGCGCCCTACTCACTGAGAAACAGGTACCCCCTGGAAGTGATCATTTGTTAAACATATTTAAATCTCCAGTGACTTACACAGTGACTGGAACACAATAAATGCTCAATAAATATTTATTGCATGAATTGATATCTTTAATCATCCCTAATATTTAAATATAATTCTCATTTCATGGATTAAGAGGCATAAGAATTTAAAGAACTAACCCACAGTAATGTAGCTGAAGAGTGGCAAAGGTGAAGTTTTATCTTAACTCCAAAGCCTATTCTATTTCCACTATACCAGCATCTAGTTCCATAAAAGATGTCAATAGAAACTGGTACTGTGGTCAAACATGTCTAGGAAATATTAGGTTAAACAAAGTTGAAGTAAGGTTTTTGTTTTTTTTTTTTTTTTAGAGACAGAGTCTCATTTTGTTGCACTCAGTAGAGTGCCGTGGCATCACACCTCATAGCAACCTCTAGCTCTTGGGCTTAGGTGATTCTCTTGCCTTAGCCTCCCAAGTAGCTGGGACTACAAGCACCTGCCACAACACCCAGCAATTTTCTGTTGCAGTTTGGCTGGCTGGATTTGAACCCACAACTCTAGGTATATGGGGCCAGAGCCCTACACACTGAGCCATAGGTGCCACCCTTTGGTTTGGTTTGGTTTCTTTTATAGGACTTTACAGTCCTTTAATATGCTAATATGCATTATTTTCTCCCTGAGAATGTCTTGATTTTTACATTATACCTTTCTGCCTTTAAAAATCATACTATCACCCAGAACTAAAATATCAGAATATAAATAATCAGGCAATAAGCATTTAATGATTATCTTCCAAGTACCTAATACTATATCAAATATCACAGGAGATGCAAAAATAAAGACATGCTCTGCTGTCCTCATATAACTTAGACACTAAATAATGATACATGAAATAAGGTATTAATCTTTTTTCTTTTTTTTTGAGACAGAGCCTCAAGCTATCCCCCTGGGTAGAGTGCTGTGGTATTACAGCTCATAGCAACCTCCAACTCCTGGGCTCAAGCGAGTCTCCTGCCTCCACCTCCCAAGTAGCTGGGACCAGAGG